ATACACTGATTAGTTATAACCAAAATGTAATTAATCTCATTTAATTAAACTTTTGAATTAATTTCTATTTATACGTATTGTATAGTTGGATTTAGATCTTGAAATACTATTAAAATAATACTTAAATATTCAATTTTACTCTCCCTTATGTGTGTACATGATTTTATAGCCTACACATATACACACCTAATATGACTCAGAAAAATAAAAAGTACAAACTCTATAAAATGCAAACTAAGTTATATGCTGACACTATGTTATCTTGATTCTTCAATGCTACTCGGTGTATGTTGTACTTGAAATAGTTCGTGACACAAAAAAATATTCAATGTATAAAGCAAGAATAAGAAAATACTCTTCCAATAATATTTATAATCATCAAAATTCAAAACATAATATCAAGCTTCTATATTGCAACATGTACATTCCAGTGCATTTATTAAAGGATTTAAATCTAGTGTGCTTATCAGCATGCATGTGTCTTGTTAAAATGCATGTCATGTCAGATGAACATTATACTTTTATGTATATCATGTATTTCATGCATAAATTAAATAAACCATTTTCTACTACTCATTTTTCATTGATTTTATCCTATTCATTACATATAAAATTTTATATATAAAAAATTATTTAATGAAATATTAATATGATAATGTCAAATTACTCAGAAAGATAGCATTTATCACATAGCAGAAGTTATATAGTGGAAACCATCTAAATCATTAGATAATGTATTTTTATCAAATTTGAGTGAGAGAAAATCATAAAAATCAAAATTAGATAGGGTAAAGGTTACCTACCACAATTAGAACAACTATTGTTACTAGGAGAATGAACATAAATACCTTAGAATAACCTTCTCTGACTTCTTCTTCTTCTTCTTCTTCTATACCCCTTCCTTTCCTTCTCTTCCTTTAGCCAAGCATGCAAATTAGGGAGGTGGAATCGAATTAAAGTACTTCCTTAAATTAGTGGTAATAAATAAATAAATAGATAGATAGATTTTTTGAAATATCACCATAACACTACCCTAAGTTACTGCATAATAGAAGATCTCGCGCTGCAGAGCCAAGGCCTAGTGTCGCCACACTCACATGGCCAAAACCTTCCATATAGTGAGGCTAGTGCCATTGCGCTCGCCAGCAAAATGCCACAGCTCTCTCAACCAAACTTTCATATATGCATGGTTTTTAAGCATTTTCTAAATAAGATAGTCAATAATTGATCAATCAGTTAAAATTTGGGTCATTATACTAGTACACTCATTTATACTAACCCAAGTTAGCTTTTGGACCTAACTCATTAGATACAAATTTATCCATGGATGATAACTGACCTTATAAGTAGGAAAGCTGTTTGAGTATGACGTAGAAACCTATGAGAATAGAGAGAGAGAGAGAGAGAGAGAGAGAATGTTGTCCACAAACTCAAATATATGTAATATGAGTGCCAATGGGTGCAGAAGATGTCAAAAAAGGCTCTAAATGTTCCTCTTCATCCTTTCTTTATAGGGATCTAAGGGCTACATGAAAGGATCATTAAGTAAAATAAATATTTAATATATTATTTAATGATATTTGTAGTACAAATTGCCTTATACATGCATTATAGACTAATTGGCTGGACAGGAGATTACTTTGATTATTTATCGAAGGGTGAGTTTATTAGTGCTGAGTGTATATGGGGTGTAGACATATGCAAGTCCGTTATTAAATCTTGAACTAAGAGATATGTGACTGGTGAATGCCTTAAAGTCATTGGCAACTTGTGTTAAAGCTTTATATCATCTGGGAATGGAAGGCAAGTGAGCTTGAGTTGTAGGGAAGGCTAGCTATGTGGTTGGTTGGTTAGTTCTGATAGAGCAAACTGTGAGCCACTAAAGACTACAGGAAAAACACCAATTACCGGCAGTCATGACCGCCGGTTACGCCGGCGGTGTAGCCGCTGGTTAGTACCGGCGGCCTAACCGGGGGTTTCGTAACGTTAGGCCGCCGGTAATAGCGACAGTCCTTTAACCGCCGGTTAAACCGTCGGATGTCAATCTTACCGACGGTGAAGACCGCTGTTGATAAGTGATGAAATACCGGCGGTCGTGAATGCAGGAAGACCGCCGGTAAATGCCCTAAAATGAACGGGACCGAGCCTCGCATTTCATTTCTAATCTTTCCTTCCCTCTCTTCGGACAGCATGCGGTCGGTAAAGTGATTACCGGTTAGCCGTCGGAAAAATAACCGGCGGCTTAACGGCCGGAGCACCGTCGGTTGCAAATTCGGTAGTCACCGGCGGTATTAGCCGCCGGAAAGCCGCCGCCTCATAAAACCGTCGGTAATAAATCGCAGGTAAGTGTTTCCTACGCCATTTTTACCGGCTGCTTTAAAGCCGCCGATAAGCCGCCGGTATATTGGAAAACCGCCGGTTTTACCATATTAACCGCCGGAAAAAACCGCCTATTTTTGACGTTTTTCCTGTAGTGCAAGTAGGCTATTTTTGATAGCTGAGGAAATAAGTATGATTGGCGACACTTTATTATGGGTGATAATGAGAAATTTTAATGGATAGTCTTTCCTTGTAGATGAGTGGAGAGTTGTATAATATGTGAGAACCCATGGCTATTTTTGTGGGAGGTGAGTTCATTTAGAGCTAGGTCTTCTGATCTTTGTGGTGAGTTCCTTTATGGGCCCACAAAGTATTAGCTCTTCTACCGTGCATGCTGACTATATATTAAATACTTGAAAAGTCATATGCAAGTATACATAATCTTAGCTCAATATAACTAAAATTGACTAACCTGGGCTAACTTGAACAAAATAGCTTTACTAACTAATTAAGATAACTAGTTTAAATTGATCCAATCCAAGCTCGATTGGTTTAGACAATAAGCTTCTTATGACCAAATTGAATCCTTATTTGACTAATTTGGCCCAATGGCGAGCCTCAATTTCTTAGCTAACCAAAATTTTCTCAAACCCCTTAAACAAATGCATGAAATCTTAATTAAGTCAAGTTAGTCACTTAGCTTATTAGAATAACCCCAAAATAACCCATAAGAACCATTATAAATACTGATATATCTTAAATCAATGCATCTTATGATAACAAGACATCATTTATTTAAGATCCATGGACTAATCAAAGTAGCCAATTAGAAGCCATCCTAAAAATCATTCAAACTTAATTAAGGGTTGTCCCCGTGTAGTACTTCTTAATTAGTCTTTTAGTGTTCCTGATTAAGCTCTAGACATGAGAGCTTCTTCTAGAACCTAACTTGCATTTGGTCTTAATTCCTAGACCTATATTAACCTCCAAAAGCTTAATTCATATGATTTTAAACTCATTTCAAACATTTGTAGGTCACCCCAAGCCTTACATAATCCTATATATATATATATTGCGTGTTTTACCCCTAACTTTGGTCAATCCCTCACTATTTAAAATGATTAGATGGAATGAAAGAGTAATTTGAATTATATATATAAATTATCTCAAGAAGAGAGCTTATAGTTAGTCCAAGTTGTTGATTAGAGTTTGAATAAAAATGTGACTCATTGGGTAGAGTGATGTTTCAAGTTTTACTAACAGGTAGCCTACATAAGTAGATGGATCCCAATATAAGAACATTGGGCTTACTTTTTAGAGAAGACCCATGAGGTTGATTTAGGAGATGCTATGCCTACAACTTCAATATTAAAGATGCTTGTGAAGGTTGATCATAATCTTTGTGCTAGAAAGGCGCAAATGAACGGTTTTGATTGTTTTAACAAATCTTTGACATAAATGATCATAATGGCCTTATGATAAGTCATGTATGAATAGGTTATGAGGCACACTTTATGAATAAATATATCACACCCAATTGCATCAAATTTTGGCATCTCCTCTAGAGATTAAGGTTTAGTTTGAGACAACTTTTTTACTGCTTTATAAAGCAACTTTTTAGTACAAAAAAGTTTTAATTCAAGAAATTTCTAACTAGAAAGTTGTTTTAGAAAGCAGTAAAAAATCCGTCCCAAACGAAACCTAAGATTAGATATTTAAACAAAGGTTTCTCTTTTTATTTCTCTTCTAAGGGATTGATGGAATTGATTGATTATTCATATATACTAATAAAAAATTATGTGAGTTGATTAAACTAATTTTGAAAGAATTTTTCGCTCAATTTTAAATATGCATTGAGCTATATATATAACGATCTCAAATATCGAGCTAAAAAAATTAACATTGATGTAGTATTTCATAAATATTTTAAATTACAATCCCTATTTTATCAATTATTAAATAAATTAAAGGGTTTCAAGCCCTTTATACAACTATAAAGGATATCTCCTCAATATTTCAAATAATATTAATAAATTCATTGAACAATGTATTCAATCTCATAAATTCACAAAAAAATTGATTTTAAATAATATATATTATAAAAATGTTGAGGCTATAATCTTAATTTTATGGGGGCAGCTAAGCTCCAAGCTGTTCTTGTTCCCTGTCGGAAGAGCCGAGCAACTGCATCATCATCATCTTCTGCTTTCTCGCTCAGATTACCACATTAGGGTTGGGGCCCGTTGCCTCCATTTCCACTCGTCCTCTCCGCTTCTGCTGCCTAGACTTCTTCAGGTCCTCCTCCTCCTCCTTATCTCTTTCTATATCTACCAACCCCGCGAAATCGGCGCAGCGGCCAGCTAGAGAAAAAATCGAAGAAAAGCTAGCCATCAAATCGAACGCGGCTCTGGCTGGCGAAGAGAGGAATAGAGTGAGATCCTGACTTGGAGTTAAGATCGTTGGAGAAAGAGAACCTCGTTTACCGGGCAAACGATGGCAAAGACAAAACCTGGGAAGAAAGACCTCGACTCCTACACCATCAAGGGCACCAACAAGGTCGTGCGCTGTACGTATCACTTCTTTTGTTCCCCTTTCACTCATTCTTCATTACTTCTTTGTTGCTCTGAGTTCGTTGATCACGTTTTTGTCACTTGGGCGACGATGGTTTTGCAGCTGGGGACTGCGTGCTGATGCGGCCGTCGGACACCGACAAGCCTCCATACGTTGCTCGCGTGGAGAAGATCGAGGCCGACCATCGCAACAACGTGAAGGTTAGGGTTCGGTGGTACTACCGGCCGGAGGAATCCATTGGCGGCAGGCGGCAGTTCCATGGAGCAAAGGAGCTCTTCCTCTCTGATCACTACGACGTCCAGAGCGCACACACCATTGAGGGTAAGTGCGTCGTCCACTCATTCAAGAACTACACCAAGCTAGAGAATGTGGGGACCGAGGACTATTTCTGCCGTTTTGAATACAAGGCCGCTACCGGTGGATTCACTCCTGATCGTGTCGCTGTGTATTCTCTCGGCCAATCTTTTTTTAATTTTAATTTTATTTGTTTTTTCGGGCGCCCATTTATTTTTTGTATGGTGCGAAAATGTTGGACGGTGGTTCTGATTTCATTATTTTTTTTCTAGGTACTGCAAGTGCGAGATGCCGTACAATCCAGATGATCTTATGGTGCAGTGCGAGGCATGCAAGGACTGGTGACTGACCTTAGATTGCTCCGGCTAGCTCTTTTTTTATTATTTGACCTTCTCGTTTTAGTGAATAGATGGGTAGATGTTAGTTCTATCATGATAGAGGTAATAAAGGAATGTAGTGAACTTCTTAGCTTCTCCAGTGGTAATGGAATGGTTGTTTTAAAAAGGTTTCTTTCCTTATTTGATTTCTGGATGGTGTTATCAAGAAATCATGTTTTAGATTCTCGCCATAGTGCAGTATGTTTTCAGATTTCTTTCTTTTAATGATCAACATTTTTATGTTTTTGGCATATTCCTCTGCTATCTCAAGTTTCACTTGGATGTGCTGTGATTTTATTGTGGTATTCTGTTTGGTATATTTTAAAGTCATTGCAATTCTCATAGAGAATTACAGGTAGCTCTACAATTGTGTTGAACACAAAGCCTTGTGATGTAGGATCATCATATCTTTCCTTGTTTTAAACCATTGGAGAGCAACATAATTCATGTCTAATTTATATTTTAGTTATTTTTTATTGATGTTTCTAGATAGTATTATACTTTAAAACTATGTGAGCGAGTTATGGAGCATAGGTTGTGGCGTGATACTAATGTTTCTCAAAATCAATTTGGATTCATGCCGGGTAGGTCGACTATGGAAGCCATACATTTATTAATAGGTTTGATGGAGAAATATAGATAAAATAAGGAGGATCTACATATGATATTTATTGATTTAGAAAAAGCATATGATAAAGTTCCAAGAGAAGTGCTTTGGAGAGTTCTTGAAAAGAAAGGAGTTAATAACGCTTATATTCAAATCATTAAAGATATGTATGCAGGAGCTATTATTTGTGTTCAATCACAAGGTGGTTTGATCAAGTATTTCCCTATTTCGGTTGGGTTACATCAAGAATCAGCCTTAAGCCCATATCTTTTTGCTCTAGTCATGGATGTTCTCACTAGGCATTTGCAAGAGGATGTACCTTGGTGTATGCTTTTTGCTGATGATATTCTTCTTGTTGATAAGACTAGAGAGGGAGTTGAAGATAAACTTGAATTATGGAGGTTAAACTTAGAGTCTAAAAGTTTTCGCTTGAGTAGATCTAAAACAGAATATATGGAGTGTAATTTTAGTAGTAATAGACCTAGTGAGGGGATTGTGACTTTGGGCGATCAAATTATTAATAAGAGTACATGTTTTAGATATATTGGATCTATTGTTCATAGTGATGGTGAAAATGAGGATATTATCAACAGAATTCAAGTTGGATGGTTGAAGTGGAGGAATGCATCGGGCTTGCTGTGTGATTGAAAAGTACCTCTCAAACTGAATGGAAAATTTTATAAGATGGTGGTGAGGCCTGCAATGCTTTATGGTGCCGAATGTTGGCCATTAAAAGAGAAGCATAATTCTAAGTTAAGTGTGGTAGAGATGGATGCTCAAGTGGATGAGTGGCTTTACCCTCAGGGATAGGATACGAAATGAGCATATACGTGAAGAGGTTGGAGTAGCTCCAGTAGAAGATAAGATTAGAGAGAGTAGAAGATAAGATTAGAGAGAGTCGCCTTAGATGGTTTGGTCACATAAACGGCGGCTTTTCGATGACCCGGTTAGGAAAGTAGAGATATTAGATTTGACTTATGTTAAGAAAAGTAGAGGCAGACCTAAAAAGACTTGGTTAGAAAATATTAGGAATGACCTTTCTTTATTAGATTTAAACGAGAATTTGACTTTTAATAGGACACAATGGAGAAAAAAGGATTCATGTAGCCGACCCCACGTAGTGGGATAAAGGGTTGATGTTGTTGTTGTTGATTTTTCTAGATAGTATTGCCATTATTATGTTCTTTAGCAATGTTTTATTTTTATCTTGTGTGATAAGCCTTATGAACTCTCTTTTACATTCAAGGATTAATATTTATATTACATCATATTGTGCTTAATGAAATAAGTGTTATGGTTTCTCTTTCCTTTCTCCCTTTGTCTCAGTCGTGTACCCACCCCTCGCTCTTACCAACCCTTCTCTTTTCCTACTCACTTCTTCCTTCTTTTAATCTTTATCTCCCACTTTAAGGATAGAACAATAACACAAGAAATGCCCATTGTTAATGTCCATCATTTGGTGTTAGAACAAACAACAATCCTTGGAGATGATGGTTGAAGATCCAAAGAGTTCCAGAGAAGATTCAAGTTCTTCACTAAGTGTTTCATGAAAAGAAGAATATTTCTTAGGTTCCTTTTTTTTTCCTATTATGCATGGTATTATTTCTCTTCATGATTGCAAAAATTACGACCTATCAATTTCTTAGCAAATATTTTGTACTTTACATCTCATACATTCACTTTTGTCAACTATACTAAAAAAGGCTATTTTCTAGTTACTCCTACTTTTGAAGGTCAACCTTACTCCATATGCTCCACAAAATTAAGGGAAAATTATATAAGATGGTGGTGAGACCTGCAATGCTTTATGGTGCAGAATGTTGGCTATTAAAATAGAAGCATAACTTTAAGTTAAGTGTTGCAGAGATGAGGATGCTCAGGCAAATAAGTGGCTTTACTCTTAGAGAGGATACGAAATAAGCATATACGTGAAAAGGTTGGAGCAGCTCTAATGGAAGAGAAGATTAGAGAGTCTTCTTAGATGGTTTGGTCATACAAAACAACAGCCTTTCGATGACCCGATTATGAAAAAAGATGTAATATATTTAGTTTATGTTAAGAAAGGTAGAGGTAGATAAAAAAAATTAGTTAGAAAATATTAAAAATGACTTTTTTTATTAGATTTAAATGAGAATTTGACTCTTAACAGGACAATGGAGAAAAATGATTCATGTAGCTGACCTCATGTAGTGGGATAAAAGCTTGATGTTGTTGTTGTATTCAATTGACAGGAGCTTGCAATAGAAGTTTGTATCCAACCAACCCCATTCAGTCTATTTTTCTAGATACCTTTTGGTCATTGACTGGCCTATTTTTTGGTTATGATGTATAACAAATCACTTATGTTCAGGTTTTTGATAGGAAATGGATACAATTTCCTCGAAATCAGTGAATTATTAAGAAATTAGGAAAAAGTACACACCAAAACTATTTCTATTGCTAGATATATGAAAGAACATAACAAGATATAATTGGATCTTCAATTGGAGAGAAAGATCTGGCTCTCCCAAATCCCTAGCTGGCTGCTAGAGCCCTCATAACCTAAGAAATTCTAATTTCAGTAAACTCAAAACATAATAATGAAATCATTCTTTTTGTTAGTTTTAAATAGGCTCCCATAATTCCCTCCAAAATCTGAATTCAAATCAGTCATCTTTCTCTAAATAATTTCTTCCCAAATATAAATTTAAATAAGCCATTTTTCCCTAATTAAAAATTCCTAATTTCCCTCTAAATATGAATTCAAATCAGCTCTTTTTCCCTAAATAAATCTTCTTAATTTCCTTCCAATCAAATCAACCATCCTTCCCTAAATAAACCTTCCTAATTTCCTCCCAATCAAATCATCCTTTTTCCCTAAATAAACTTTTATAATTCCCTCCCAATCAGATTAGCCGGTCCATTAATATTTTCCTCCCAAAGACCCACCTTGCCCGCAAGGTGGAAAGACGGCTCCTTCCCAATTTTTCTCGTCATAAAAAACGGTGAGCACATGAAGAGTTCGGTTCTTACACCTGTGCTTTAGTGTATACCTCTCCTCACATCTAAAACAAAGCCCTTCGCCCTATTTTCCTGTAACTCAGTTTCTGTGAGCTTCTTGAAGTTTTTTCTAGCTCTCCCTTCTACAGTCTTCTCCTTCAGGGTCTCCTTAAGAATACTTAGTGTTAGCTCCTTGGATGCCATAAAGGTGGTGGTCATTATATACGAACCTTCTGAGCTTCTACCTCCTGTCCCTCTCTCCAGGTGCCTCTGATCCTCCATTAACTAGGCTAGATCCATAGCCTCTCCCAAATCACGAGGCCTCATCACTATAATTGCTCACTCAAATCTCTAGTGAGCCCTTTCATAAAGCTCTCCTCCAGTATAGTCTCCAAAAGTTGATTCAGTTAGTTGGTTAGGTGCTCAAACTACTCATGGTATTCTAGCGCTGTCCCCTCCTATGTCAGGGTGAAGAATTGCTCATAGAAGTCGCATCCCATACTAGTTCATTAATGTTCCAACAAGCAATCCTTAAACTCCCTCTAGGTTCGTATGGGTCACCTCGTATCCCTCGAACGCTTTCTCCTCTAAGCACATCCCAATCGCCGTTAGTCTCTACTCCTCCGTCAACCTAATAGCTATAAAGTACCTTTCCACCCTTATATCCACCCATGTGCATCATCTTCCTAAAAAATATGCATATTCAACTTCCTCACCTTTGTTTCTCCTATTTTCCTCCTGATTCCTCCCTAACATTCCATTTCCCAAGGGGTGGTTCCCCTCAAATGTTTCAATCATCTCATCTACACTCGTACCAAAACCTTTCATCAAAATCTCATTTTCTCCTTTCAAATTCAGCACCCCTTGGATCATAATCAACCTTTATTATTTCAAATTCAGCCAATCTACTTTCAAATTTAGCACCCCTTTTGTCATAATTAGCTCTTCTCCTTTCAAATTCTGCTCCCACCTCTCAAATTTATTACTCATTCTTTCATGCTTGACCCCCTCACGCCTCTGCCCATACCCTATACTCGACTCCTTCCTAGGAGTAGACTCTAGGGGTGGCATTCTCTCTTCTCGCTCTAAAATCTCCACCTCCTGATCTTCCTTTCGCCTTATTGGATTAGGGTTTTCCCCACTTCCTTGGTTGCCACTTGCCAACGACTTCCCTTGCCTCCGACGATGCCGTCTTGGGTTGGCCATCGAGCAACTTTTTCAATATCTCTTCTAGGATGAAAAATTTCCCATTGATTTTCTCATGGAATGTGGACATTTGACTTTTTTGAAATCTGAAAATTGAGTTTGGAGATCCGAAATTTCAGGTTTCAATTGTCAAATCTCTCCCTCGAACAATTCTACCTTTCTTCCTGCCGCA